GGGTGTGGGGTGGGTGTGGGTGTGGGGTGGATGAGGGTGTGGGGTGGGTGTGGGTGTGAATGTGTTTCTTTTCTTTTCACACCCACACTCACATCCACACCCACAGATACACTGCCACTTGATAATTTTTTATCAGTTCAAATGAAATACAATTTGTATTGTGGTAACTGTAACACACCCTTTTAAGGTGTTTGTCGAAATTCTTCTTCGAGTTTCGACTTTGTATCTTGTTTTTGATTTGAATTCTCTTAATTCAGATCATTCTTGAAACAGATACACTGCCACTTGATAATTTTTTATCAGTTTAAATAAAATACAATTTGTATTGTGGTAACTGTAACACACCCACACCCAAACCCACATCCAGCTCGTCCAATTAATTCAAATACGGTAAGATTTTCATATATTAATTTCTCTTTTACTTCAAAAAAATTCTGATCATCTATCAAGGCAGCAACAACAAGAAGCAATGCAACATCTGGTCAGGATATTCATATGACTTAATCATCTATGGATACTCAATCTCGTCTGTTTCAAGCAGACGCTATCATCGATTCGACTAGTTTTTCATGCATTGAAGTGAATGTTGACAGCAATATGAATGTCATAGCATAAGAAAAAGAACAAACAGACGAGATGAATTCTAAAGATGAATACGGCTTGAATAAAATTCTCAATGATGGAAGAGATCAGGAGATGGAACAACCTTCTCAATTGAATAGTATTTTGTATTTGGTTTGAATTTTTGACTAAAAATTTGAATCAATTGTACAAATACTTGCCACTTGATAATTTTTATTGCATAAATGAAATACTAACTCTTAGAATTGTGGTAGCTCTTCGCATCCTATGAAAAAAATTTTTTTTCAGAAAAGTGGTAGAAACCTCACAGAATTACCCTTACATTAATCTTCCATGGAGACAAAAAGACAAAAATAAATTGACACAAAAAAATTGAAGTAAATATTATTGAATAATTTTTGAAGGATATATTCTAATATTTCTTTAATTTTAAGCCAAAGGAAGAAGAATAAAATTTATCAGAAAAAATGAGTCAATTATCTTCTCGTACAGCAAATGAAAAAAGAATCACTGATAAAACATACTAAAGTCGAAATCGATAAAATTCCAGATTATCTAACAAAACAAAATAAATCTTTCCCATACCAAATCATTTTCAAAAACTTGGTTTCGAGTTAATTTCTTTTGAAATTAATTTTCGTTACGAGACCATTTGAAAATTGTCTTTGCTGACATGAAATATCGATATCATGGTAGCTTAACACACCCACACCCACATTAGTTTTGTGGTAACTCTACACACGCGTTGAGTGTTCTTCAGTTTTTCTTCCATTTGTGTTGAAAAATTTTAATGTATTTTGTATTTGGTTTGAAAATTTGTTTTAAATTTTTGAATCATTCATACAAGTACTTCCAACTTGACAAGAATTATAAGTAAATTCGAAAAAATTTAGTTTTGTGGTAACTCTACCCACACTCGCACTCTTACGGAATTACATACTTGAGAATGGTTTTTGTTTCATGTGAGAAGCGGAATAACAAAGGTTACATGTCAGCTTTACACGACTCTAGCTACACTTTGTATTTTTCACTAATAATTACCGATTTTAGATAAAACAGGTTTCTAGTATCAATTATGTCAAAACATCAAGATGATTCAATTGAAACTATTCATCACAACGAGGTTGCTGACGACGAACAAGTAAATAATATTATATCGTTGAAAAACTATGTATTCAGTTGTTTATGATACTTTAGCTTATGGAAGAACATATTTTGTCACAAAGGATGAGTCAATTATCTACAACCGCGACAAATGAAACGGAATTTATTGTCAAAGATATCCAAAATATAATAGAGAAAATTCCAAATTATTTAACGAAACAGAATAAATCATTTGAACAATTATTAGATCAAGCGTTATCAACGCTGACATTAGAAAAATTGAATTTTAAAAGAGATGAATTACGAAAAATTGCCATTCTAATCTATAAAACAATATTCATTCAAATATATCTACGTTTACGGACAGTTTATTTAAAATCAGGTATGGGGCAATTAATTAAACAATCTTCTCAACAACCGCTGATTTATCCAACTGATTTACGAATTTGGCCAAAAGAAATTAAAACCATTGTAAAATCAAGCAAGACGAATAAGACGAATGAAAACGATACTTGCATGTGTTTTGTCAAGGACTATATACATGAACTTAGTAAACAATTAAAACAATATCAAATTGAGTTAAATATCAATACAAACAACTGCAAATGTTATACACCAGTATTAAGAGAAATATTGGAAAAATATATTACAGAAAATCTATCTTCTTTAAATTTGGAAATTGATCATAAAATAGAAATTCTTCGGTATGATTATCAAGTTCAAGCATTGAAAATAGAATATCTGCGCCAAAAACCAACTGCGACTCAAGTATGTTTCTTTTTATTTTTTTTTTGAGAAATAAATGATTCTTTCATGCCTCATTGTTTTAATCTACTCAAGGAATTAAAAATGAAACAACTTTGTCATGATAAGTATGAAGAAGAAACCGCACAACAGGTATTTGATTTTCTGCGAAAACAAATGGATTATTATAATTCACCCAGTCAAGGTTTTAAATATTCACATATAGCTGAGTCAACATTAATTAATTCTATTGAAAATCCAACGATTAGAAAACAAATATTCGATCAATATAAAGAAATCGCCGAGCAAGCCAGAGGGCAATTGTTCGCTTTGTACTTGAAAACTGCTGAAGAACAAAAAGACGAATTTAAAAGAAAATATAATGCTGATATCAAGAAACTCTGGTCTGATCAACGTGGCCCTGTTAAGAATGAAAAGCTGTCTTCAATAATGTTGAATCTTCTCAATGAACGTTGTAATAAAATTAGCGAACGAATTAAATCCATATATAAATTTAAAATTCAATCGATTCCTGCAACATAGAATTTATAATAATTCTCAATCAATAAAAGGCTTCTCTTCATTTGTTTACGTGTCAATCTTTTTTATCATTAGCTTATTCGCTATTCTTCATATAATGTTGTTGTTTTGTTTTTCTCCATTTCAGATACATATTTAAATCTAGTTATCTAGGACTATTTCAACCATGGATGTCGACAATAGTCACATGGAAGTGGATCGTCAACTGCCAAATGAAGTACAAACAAGGAAAAAATGTCATGGAAATCGATGTGATCAACGTTTCAGAAGGAAATGTCGTGCACGTGATATAAAACTGAAAAAAATTGAAAAATTAATTAAAAAGCGAAACCAAAGAAAGAAGAACAAAAACAAGACAAAATTAAGAAACGATACGACAACAAACGCAATCGATGATAGTGTTGAAGCCACCACATCGAAGCATATATCTATTCGCAAAAATGAACGATCATCGAAACAGAAAAAGTCAAAAATAAATAAAACAAAACGCAAACGAGAAGCATCATTACAACAATTAAATCTAAATTACGGATTAACAAAATCTACAAGTTCAATCTCTGTTTTTCAACCGCCAATGAAAAAGATGAAAAAGAAACAGGAAATGGCTGTTACGCACATGAAAGTCAACAAAAATACTGCAAACAGAAATTATCGGTTAATTTTTTTTATCGATTTATATAACTCTATATATATATATATACATGCTTTGTTTTTTGGATATATAGACGACCGCTCTGTTTAAAACGATCATTATCCATACTTATTCTAATGATAAGCAAACCATTAAATTATACCTTTAAGAAAGATGACGAACAACGATTTATATATAACCGACTTCATTTATTCGATGAAGACTATTGCCTACAAGTGGAGCAACAATTATGGCAATCATATCTAGATATTGGTATACAACATGGTCAATGGCCAGTAAGTTTCATAGAAAAACTCATTCCTATAGTATAATTGGTTTTTGATGAAAACTTAAAGGAGCAACTGCATATGATGGCAAAGACTAAGGATTTCCAATTATGTCAAGAGTATCTTAGGAAATATCTAACAAGTATTAAAAAGGAAATGGATGAATGTCAACGAAAATTGACAGAACAGTCGGCATTATGGCTTAATAAAGAGTTATCATTGGATCAACTTGATCAGGGTCTTAGAAAATTTGTGCATTATCAACGAAACTATTTACTAGGAAGAAACACGAAACAGTTGCAGAAATTCAAAGATGATATGCATGAAAAGGTGTTATTGGGAACTCTGTCTTCATGTAGTCTTACAAGTGAACAGGTAATTGATATCCTTTCTTAGTCAATCACTATATTTCTATATGAATTTATTTCTTTTTTTATAAAGAGTGAATCTATTAATGGATTAATGGCAATACGAAAACAACAAGGAAGTGTATGGGAAGAACTTCTCATGCTAGAAATGCGTGTTTTGTGTAAATTTTTGCCAGAAAATTTTGACCACTTAGAAGATTATATTGCTCCTATCAGTTATTCACCGTTGAACAATAACCCAAAATCAATTCAAATCCGAAATCAACACTATAAAATTATACAAGAAGCGAAACGTGAATGGTTAAATTGTTTTCTAAATGCCTATGATGCTAAATTCAAAGAGTCTGATCAACAATATCGAAATGAAATTGGGAAATTAGAAACTCAATTACTAAACAATAGAATTGCCGATGGCTCATCTGTTGTCAAGAAAATTCATGATTACATGGCCTACCAAACAGATAAATTAAAACAAAATATTCACAATAAAATATTATCTTTTCGAGGAATATTACTTCAAAATCATCAACGTATCTCCCCTAAAATAAAAAATATGATTGGTGTTTCTCCTGAACCATACCTTGATTTAACTTTTAAACCGTTCAATAAACGTCAATGGTTTTATCTCTCACTTGGTAAGAGAATGTTTTAAACAGAAATTCTAATCCATTGTCTTGTCTTTTTTTTTCCATTACTTTAGGGCCATCTTATATACGTTTAAATCAAAGTGCCATTCGTCCAAGAGATCAACAAGAGAGCACAGTCACAAAAGAACATAAAAATATTTATGATAAAATTGCACAGCGACTTAGCTCACACCCATACAATATACCGTCAAAATCATTGATTCTCAAACAATATTCTAATCATCTTCTTGAATATCTTAATAATTCTTATTTTACTCCGCTATCGTATAAAGATCAACTTCGAGCGATAGAACAAGCAAAAACAACTGCATACATTCGAAAAATACTTAAAAAGCACAATCTTATACTTCGCATAACTGATAAGGGTCATAATTTTTATATTGGTTCAGAAACTGAATTTGAAAAAAAAGCACAAAAATTTTTCGAAGATACCAATGCCTTCATGGAATTATCAGTCAATCCATTGAAAGAAATTCAAGATAAAGTCATTCAATCACTCAATCGACTACGTGAGAAGAAACTTATATTGGTATGGCAGTACAATAAAATGATGCCTGATCGAACAAAATCGGAATTAGCTCATCTGTATTTCAATCCTAAAACACATAAAGTAAGATAGAAGTTTTTGTTTAATTCTTTTAAATTAAAGCTATGTTCTATTCTATCTATTGGAATTTAGGAGGATATACCCGTCCGACCGATTGAAAATACAATTCATGCTCCAACAACAAATATTTCAAAATTTTTAAGTGAAATTATATCACCTATATTTGACAGCAAATGTGGATCCACAACGGTTATTGATGGCGTTTCTTTGATCAAAGAGCTTAACAAATACATACGAAAATATCTCTTTAAACCATCGACGCTATTTTGTACACTGGACATTCGTAATTTATATACTATGTTACCTCAAGAAGAAGCATTAAATATCCTTGTTGAATTTCTTCGTGTACGCGGATATGAGAAAGTCAAAGGAATACCTCTTGATACAATACGCTAATTAGCTTCGTTAGTATTACAGGAAAATGTTTTTGTCTATAATAAAAAAATCTATAAGCAAGTCCTCGGTGGTGCTATGGGCTCATCATTTACATTAACGTTAGCCAATATCTTTATGTGGAAATGGTAAAAAGAATTTGTTCGTCGACAAGACATGACTGGTGAATTTTATGGC